TTTGGAATTAGTTTCCTTTCAATCCCGTGCACAACTGACCTTTGATTATTCGAATAAACCCATGCTAGATTTTGGCAAACAACAAAGACTACTTTGGACAAAGAAGCGTACTAAATGGGATTTGGGCCGTTTGAAAACTTGCCTCTCTCCTTTGACTCGTTGCACAGGTCGGTAGTACAACAAAAACGGTTCTTTCCGTAGCCATCGACGACGTCTTCGTACGGATTGCATTCTTGTCCAACACACTGACGCGTGACTGCAACCACATCATGTCCCATCAGGGTCTCCTGATACTATAATTCAATTCAACATAGACATTAACAGTTTATTGTATGCACTTGTCGGAAATTTGAAGAAAAATCCATCCCAGATACCTATGGAGACGCCTTATTCTCATCAATTCTCATTATATTTAACACTGTGTGCGCTATCCTCACGGCAATAAAGCGATCGCAAGAGTTACTAGGTTGACCTTTACACATTGTAGCCTGTCTCTGCGTGAATCAATTCAACAGAAATACTTACCACACAATGTCCGCAGTTTGAGCGCTTTCTTGCGGTAGCACTGTTGAAGTCCAAGTCATGCGACTGAAAACAGGTGATTTCCCGCCTTCCGTCATCTAAGAGAACTGCGTTAATTCATTGAAAGTTTCGTACTTTTAGCCGATACTGCAGCCAAAACAATGATTAACGCTGTAAACCAAATCATGCCTGAACGAGGGAATACTGTGAAGACAGGTCTATTAAGCCTCCTTGTGCTTATATAGCACTATTTCTCGTGTGAACCTGAAGTGAGTACCCATTTGATTGGTATGCGGAAAAATCGTTGGACTCCTGGTCGCGTATGAGGACAGACAGGCCATGTTACCTGAAACAAATAAGCTTAATAAGATCCTAGTGTCCTAGCAGACCATCCCCTATTTACGCGGGTATTTGAATTAGGCTGAGTCTAACCCTACTGAAAGTGAACCATGCAAAATATCAATAACGTTAAGGATAGTAATTCAGGAGAATAACCTTTCAGG